CCCTAAACTTTAAAATTTACATCTTTGTTTTCACTAGTCTCTACCTGAAATGTTACCATTTCCTTCCATTATGAGTGTAGGCAACAAGCCACTGGAACACTAGCTGTACTTGTTTCTCAGCAGTAGAAATCAGTTATTTTCCTAACACTTGACAGTTGTTGCAGAGTTTCAAAATACCGTTTAATTTCTTGTTGCGGAGTTTCAAAATGCCATTTAAGTTCATCAGTACAACACCACTGTGGTAGTTTTAAGACCTGACACTGTATCTTATTATCTGATGTGTTAATAAAGTACATTTAATACTGTACCATAGATTTGCTTTTATATTTTGGTAAATATCTCAGTATAATTTATTTTCTTAAATGTTTTTCTGGTGCTATTTCACATGCATAAAAACATTATTATTGAGAAGTGGTCCTTAGACTGCTAGAGGGGTCCATAGCGCCCACACAGACTAAAAATCCAGCCAAGGAAGACAAGCCGTTTTTATAGGCAGGGGTGCTGGCAGGCCCTGAGTCTAAGGGGAAGCCCCACCCTGAAGGGGCTGCCAGGACAACCGAGGCTGCCCCCCTGGAGATGCCTGGTGCCCCTCAGTGTTTTTCCCATGGACTCTTCAGCTACAGAACAAGAGAACATAGTATCTGACCCCTCTGGTTTGATGCAAGGACTTTTTGATATTCGCCATTTTGAGGTCCTAAAGAGCAGATCATCAAGTATTTGAATCCATTTTAAATTACTAAATGATTGTACAACAGATATCCTTCCTATTCCACCCCTGATCTATCTCCCATCTCAGAGCCTCACACTGGGGTCAGGGTGAATAAGAGGCCCAGAAATGGGAGGGTTTACTTAGCATGTATACTGTCACCCTGTTTATTTAACTTATATGTAGAGTACATCATGAGAAATGCTGGGCTGGAAGAAGCACAAGCTGGAATCAAGATTGCCGGGAAAAATATCAATAACCTCATATATGCAGATGATACCACCCTTATGGCAGAAAGCAAAGAAGAACTAAAGAACTAAACTCTTGGTGAAAATGAAAGAGAGTGAAAAAGTTGGCTTAAAACTCAACATTCGGAAAACTAAGATCATAGCATCTGGTCCCATAACTTCATGGTAAATAGATGGGAAAACAGTGGAAAGAGTGACAGACTATTTTGGGGGGCTCCAAATCACTGCAGATGGTGACCGCAGCCATGAAATTAAAAGACGCTTACTCCTTGGAAGGAAAGCTATGACCAACCTAGATATATATTAAAAACCAGAGACATTACTTTGCCAACAAAGATCTCTCTAGTCAAGGCTATGGTTTTTCCAGTAGTCATGTATGGATGTGAGAGTTGGACTGTGAAGAAAGCTGAGCGCCGAATAACTTGCTTTTGAACTGTGGTGTTGGAGAAGACTCTTGAGAGTCCCCTTGGACAGCAAGGAGATCCAACCAGTCCATCCTAAAGGAGATCAGTCCTGGGTGTTCCTTGGAAGGACTGATGCTGAAGTTGAAACTCCAATACTTTGGCCACCTGATGTGAAGAGTTGACTCATTTGAAAAGAGCCTGATGCTGGGAAAGATTGAGGGCAGGAGGAGAAGGGGACGACAGAGGATGAGATGGTTGGATGGCATCATCGACTCAATGGACATGAGTTTGGGTAAACTCCAGGAGTTGGTGATGGACAGGGAGGCCTGGCGTGCTGCGATTCATGGGGTTGCAAAGAGTTGAACACGACTGAGCGACTGAACTGAACTGAACTGAACTGAGTGATGATGGCCAACACCACAGTAGATTGTAGCAATAGAGAAACTAAGAAGTAGGAGCTGATGCTCCTCATCTCCCTAGTGAAGACTTTAATAAAGATCTTCCAAAAAAAAAAAAGTCTAGATTTCTAGGCCGGACAACTCTCATCAATAGCATTAGCCCAACAACCCAAGGCCATCTCCTGGTGAGAAATGAGTTCTACCGCTAGATGGCAGACATATGCCAGACAGCCTCATCCTACAGCTTGACCCACTTCCTAGCTTCCTCTGTAAAACTGGAGCAGGACCACATTGCTTACATACTTTGCAGGACTGAAGACTGGTAAAGTCCCAGGAGTTATCATCAAAGTCAGGAATTTCAGGAACTGGAAAGAAAGTACATGGTGTACATGGTACTGATAAAGAGGAATCTGGAAATATCCTCAGCTCTTATTCCCTTGCTAAGAGCCTCCTGGGCCTGTCAGGTAAAACCCCATGTAACACATGAGCCTGTAAGGAGAGGTTAGGCTGGCTTTCCCTGGCCCAGGGCAGTCAGCACAGAGCTGTGGTGAATGCAAGGCCACTTCATCCTCACTCAGCAACACATCGTGGGCACCTCATTGTAAAAGAGCATGCCAAGCACAGATTTGCCCTATGTGAAAAATGAGTTTGTGCAATGCACAATTTCACGTTCTCCTACACATTCGTTCGAGGAGATGTCTGAATAAACAAATCTTTGATGTTGTTGTTTAGTTGCTAAGTTGTGTCTGACTCTGTGACCCCGTGGCTGTAGCCCGCCAGGCTCCTCTGTCCATGGGATTTCCCAGGGAAGACCACTGGAGTGAGTTACCATTTTCTCCCACAGGGGATCTTCCCAGCCCTGGGATCAAACCCCGTGTCTCCTGCATTGACAGGTGGATTCTTTACTATTGAGCCACCCGGGAAGCCCCAGATAAATCTTTAGTCCTGGCTCAAATTGATTCCACTGGCTAATTTGTTGTTTTGGTTCATTGAGAACCATTCTCATTATTGAGAAGATAAACCATGGAAAGTTAACTTCATGTTGGGTTTTAGCGAATGTGTTTAAACTGTTTTAGACGGCCCTCAGCACCAGATGATGACAGAAATCAATCCCTGTGGCCCCTCCTCTCAAAGCTACTTTCCCACATCCTAGGTCTCCTCCACCTCTCATCTGTAGAACTTTTATGCAGGTCCTCACAGGTTTCTTTCAATCTGAGTCAAGCTGGTTCGACTCAAGCAGCACTTACTCACTCATCAAACTAGTGAGTCCAGACTGTGGAGCAGTGGGTGGCTCAAAGGGCACTGTGACAGATGCGTGGGAGGGAAAGCTGGCAGCTCAGGAGCTTCACTGGCCTGCAGCACTGCCCCCCACGGACGGCAAGGAGCAGAGCTGAGCTCACTGGCCTGCAGCACTGCCCCCCACAGACGGCAAGGAGCAGAGCTGAGCTCACTGGCCTCCAGCACTGCCCCCCACGGACGGCAAGGAGCAGAGCTGAGCTCACTGGCCTGCAGCACCCCCCACGGACGGCAAGGAGCAGAGCTGAGCTCACTGGCCTGCAGCACTGCCCCCCACGGACGGCAAGGAGCAGAGCTGAGCTCACTGGCCTGCAGCACTGCCCCCCACGGACAGTACAGAAGCAGAGCCAAGCAAAGCACCCAGCTCCAGACATGGCACACAGGCCGGGGAGGTGCGAGAGCAATGTGCAGAGAAAGCCAGGTCACAGCTAAAGTGGTTGGAAAACCATGGCTCACAAGGTCTTCATCTGCCTGCAGGTAATCACCAAGCTTGATAATACACACCTATGTGTTACTCAAAAACACACCAGCCTGGGACTTCCCTGGTGGTTCAGTGGCTAAGACTCCTCGCTATGAATGCAGGGGGGCCAGGGAACTAGATCCCACATGCTGCAGCTAGCAGTTGGCATGCCTCAACTGAAGAGTCCTCATGCTGCAATGAAGATCAAAGATCTCAAGCGCTGCAACTAAGACCTGGTGCAGCCAAATAAAATTAAAAAAAAAAAAAACACACCAGCCTTCTGAGATGGATTCTTCTGAAATTCAAGTTCTTTTGGACCCAGACTCCTCGGTGGGTCCCCCTGTCCTTGGGACGAGTGGCTGGGAACAGCAGGGCAGCTCTGCACAGCGATGAGGGTGATGAGGCGCCTGGGAACAGGGGGTGAAGGGACGAAAGGGAAACTGAGAAGGTGGGGGGCGAGGGGGACTGGGTGCTACAAAGAGGGCAAAAGCCAATTATTTTAATTATTTTAAGATCTCTGGCAGTGGGTGGCCTAGATCTTTTAATAACAAGGAGGTCGATGGTTATCTGCATTGACTGTATGACTATAAACTAAATATAGACACTTAAGGTAATCACACACATGTATGCACGTGTATTCAGCTTGAAGTTGTTCACTGTTGTAATGCCAACTCTCCTCCACCCAATAAGGGTTTAGAAGGTTTTTTTTGGCTTTTACTGTTGGAGTTGAGGAAGGGAAGACACTGCCCAAACTGGATGACCTCAGAGGAAGCAGAGCCAGCCAGAGCCAGAGAACAGAAGGCTCCCATGGACTGGCCCGGCCTTCAGGGATGGAGCAGAAGTGCACGCACGGAGGCCTGCGGCGCAGCAGACGATGGGGAAGCTCAGCAACAACGGGCTGGCGCCCAGATCCAGCCAGCAAAGGCCTACAGCGCTACCCCTCCTGTCACCCACTGGCCTCAGTCACTGTTCCTCCTGCACAAGCATCACAAAGGAGCCAAGAGTGGGTTCTTTTCTGTTCAGTCTTTATTTACAGCGAAGTACAGAGTATGTGGTCATTTACGTAAGTGCTAACAAGTAAGTGCAGGGCAGTAGAAGGAAAAGAAGAAAGTGCAAGCATCTGAAAGACCAAAAAACAAAAAATAAAAAGGCCTACGTCTCTATTTACCTACTCACCCTGTTCCCGAGGCAGGGCCAGCCATGCACGCGCCACCTCTAAGGGTGGCCGGACAGTGCCTTGAAGCCAGCCCGCTGCCTGAGGAGGGCCGCAGAAGGCGCAGAGACCAAGTTCAAAGGGGGACTCGGCTCTAGACTCGCCCCAACGGCTACCCGAGCATGCTGTCACTCTCTCTCATCTGCTGGGACACAGAGACTTTGCCCACTCTACCCTGAGGTCAGGGCGAAGGGCAGGAGTGGCAGAGAAGCCAGCCCTTTCCAGAAGCCCAGCCCTGAGGCCCGGAACCACCCTCGCCTGCCTCACCCATGTGGTCACTGACAGGCAGGTGGGAGACTCAGGGTAGAGGAGAACATTTCCCTGCAAGAGGCTACGAGTTTCTGCCAATGGCTTTGGGCCCTGGGGCAGGTCAAGGCTGCTGAATCAGGGAAGCCACACAACAATGGCCAAGGAGGTGATGCCCGAACCAGCTGGGCTCCGGCGCCTCCTGCACGCAAGCCGGACCTCGCAGCCTCACCAGAGGCTGACATCCCACCCCGGGCACCACGACAAGTGTCCAGGCCAGCCCAGGAGAGGCAGGAAGCCAAAGTCCTTGACCGCCCAGCAGCCAAGACCACAGTGGGTTGTTGCAGTTTACAGGCTCTGAAGGGTGAACCGGGGACTTCTGCGTTACCCTCCACGGCCTGTTCTTCACAGACCATCGCCTCTCGGGGGCCCACCCTACCCACTCCAAATCCAGTGATGCCTGAGGCAACAACACTGCATCTTCCTTGTACACACTCCCAGCTCTCTGCTCCTGTTGGTCTCAGGCTGCCCAAGAACAAGAGACCCAGGAAGGCAGAAGTTCCATTAGCGAGGAATGTGGGCCCAGGACTTTCCACGACACAGCGCCTGTTGTAAACACATGGTCCTTGGACAACACCTGCACAGTGCGAGAGGCAGGTGCCACTGGGCGTCTCTGAAGCCAAGAAACTCCCGTGCATACACAGCCAACGCTGCCCTACTCTGCTCATCCGTGCTGCCTCTCCAGACAGCAAACAGTATCCATCTCTGACCTCATAATTCTATCCGATGCTCCAGCAAAAACAGAGACCCAGTGGCTCTTAAAATACCAACTCCAGGATTTGCCGCATAGCAAGTGCAAGTTCAGATAGATGCACAGTTGGCTAAATGCTGGGGCCCCCACAGGGCAGAGCTTCCCACCCCCTCCTTGGCCCAGACCTTCTGTGTCGCAGAACCAGAGGACTCATTAGCACCGCCAGCGAGCCCCCAGCCAACGGGCCAAGATATCAAGAGGCGGGGCTTCCCCGGGGGCCACACAGTATAGAACCTGCCTGCGATGCAGAAGACCCGGGTTCAAACCCTGGGTCTGGAAGATCCCCCGCAAAAGGGGGTGGCTACTCACTCCAGTAGTCCCATCTGGAGGACTCCATGGACAGAGGGGCCTGGTGGGCTACAGTCCACTGGATGGCAAAGAGTCAGACTCGACTGAGTGACTAACACTTTGACTTTACCGAGAGGCAGGGCAGCCTGAGAACTGTTTCCCACCAAGGACAGAGCTACTCGGAAAACCCTGGAGGCTTGGTCCCAACACCACGAGTAGATGAAAAAGCAGCTAAGTCAGTCAAGGCTCAGAGATGAGAAGACTCCATCTTCCAAGGCAGTAGGACAGACAGCCAAGGCACTGAATGGTTTGGCACCTGGGAGCGTCAAGTAAAGTTAAGCGTGCTACCCACCAAAAGGCCAAGGCTCCCCGAGACGGCCACAGACAGGCCCCCACAGAGCAGGGGGCTAAGCCAGGCCTGCCATCCACCCTTCACCTCAGAGCTACACAAGGCGTGACTGGAAAGATAATCAACACTGATTTGGAAATGCGGGCTTCAGAACTCAGCCAACCCGCCGGGCACTGACCTTCAGAGCAGGCACCTTAGGGGCCTTCCGCTGCCCCAACTCAGCAGCTGCTGCCCTCGGGGGCTCCTTCCAGAGCCTTCCAGAGCAGTCCAGTCTCCTGGAGGTCTCAGGGGTGGCAAAGCCCTGTTGCGGATTAGGTTCGAGTTTTAGACACAGCCCAACAGAGTTAGAGTCAAATGGAGTCCAGAAAGGGGGAAGCAAACCAGGTGAGGCTGAGCCTACAGGAACAACTCGATGTGCCTAGAGTTAACGGTGCTGGATTTATCAGAATGGCTCCAAGGGGCTACAAAAGCAGTGGAAGGAGAAGGGATCCCCAAAATGTTTCAGGCTGTGGCAGCCACAAGGGAATAACTAATGGCATAGCCTATCAAGCCCTGAGATGGTCCACGCTGAGATGAAAAGGCTCTGGCTCTTCTGCAGTTCAAAGATGAGGCTTAGCACACTATACTCACAGCTTCTCCATCTCACTAGGTCCGCTGCTTCCTCCAGCCCCCCCCACCCCCCACCAGGAATCTTCAGGAATCTGTACTGCTTCCAAAGAAGGAAGTTTCCACCAAGAGGGAGCCTCGGGGAAAGCTAGAATTCTCCACCCCAAATGTTTTCAGCCTAAGACTCCAAGTTGTAATTTAAAAACGCTACTCTTCCTCCCCGCCTCTTGTGCCCAGCCGCCAGCTGACGTGGCTGCATGGTAGATAAGTGAATCAGCACGGCCGGGATGCTGCCTGTCACGGCCCCTGCTGTCTTCACCTCGCTGCAAACCCCTCAGGTTGAGAAACAAACACGACAGCTCCCCATACAGCAGAGCTCCCTGGCTGCCCTGGGAGGGGCTGGCTGCCAGGAAAGGTGCTCAACCAACGCCCAGGCTGCGAGGGTCCACTGTGCACCCCACCATCTGGGGGAAAGCCCGAGGACTATCACTGGTGACCTCCCCGGAAGACGTCAGCATCTCAGGCACACCACGACAGACACAGTCCCTCTTTCCCCACTCTGTCAGAAAGCGACCCCATCGTGTCCCCAACAGGGAAGGAGAGAGGAGCCGCTCTGGTTTTTGGAAGCGGGTGAGTAAGGAAGGAAACAGAGCTGCCTGAGCAGCCAGAGGTGGGGTGGGGGCAAGAAGAAAACACAGAAGACTCATGCCCCGCAGTGGGCTTCTTCCCTGAGTTTGATTTTTTAATTGAGGTCTTGCCTAATTTCAACTCAGAAAAAAAAAAAAAGAGAGAGAGAGAGAAGAAAAAATAAAAGAGGATCTCTTATCCACATTATCCTAAAGCTCCAGCTCCAAGAAGGTAGCATCTGGCAGGGGAGGCGATCAAAGTTTCCAAACTCCACTTCCAGTGAGTCGCACAGATGTTGAGAGCCACGAGCCCGAGCCTCCCTTCCACAGCCACCCGAACCTGCCCCGCCGGGCACGCGCCGGGCACCAGGCCTCCAGTGAAACCCCAGGTCCAGCCCCCAACACACTCAAGGACAGGCCCTCCTGCAGAATACTTACGGCAAACAGCTGTACAGTATTTGTACATTTACACAAAAATAGATCCTTTTATATATATACATATATATATATATATATATATATGTATTTATAACTGGTTACACGTTGGACTCATAATTAGGCATCACCAGTAGTAGTTGGCACAGTTTGTCATTTAAGCTCAGGGTCAACTTGTGTTTCAATTCGTCGCTCCAAAGTACCAAAAAAAAAAAAAAAAAAGGCATTTCATGCCCGTGGTGTGTTCTTAAGTACAGCAGTGTCACAGGGAACCATGTGCACGGGCGCACAGTGCCTCCTGCCCCTCCTCCGGGCCCCTGGGGACGGGGTCAGTGGGGCCGGTTGCTGGACTCCGAGGCCTGCCTCTTGCGTGAGGGGGTGTAGCCGTTGAGATAGCCGTTGGTCTGCCGCTTGGAGAGCCCTCCGTTCAGGATGTCCTGGATGTGCTGCACGATGAGGTTGATGGCCACTGCGGAGCAGAAGAGGGCGGAGCGTCAGGGGCACGCGCGGGAGGGGGCAGGTCTGCGGGGCTGTTTGGGTGGAGGGCACACCGGAGCCGCAGACGAAAAACCGCTCCAGGAAGCCGGCTCCGCTGCCCGTGGGCAAGTCCCCCACCTCCCCAGACCTCTACGGGGGCTCATGTGACCCCGCACGAGAGTTCTCAGAGTAGGACAGTCCGGGACACAGTAAGCCCTAAACGTAAGGCTTCCTATCAAGATGCGATCAGAGGCACGCACTGGATGGAAGCAATCAACCCAAATTCTGCAGACATGAGGACTGGCCTTTGTTCTGACACCATTCCACCAGGGAACCTGCCAGTTCCCCACCCCAAAGACAGGGAACCCCACGGAAGGCCCTCTCCTCCAAAGGTAAGACTAGACTCTCCTTCCTTAGCCTTAGAAACAAATCGTATGCTTCAAGCACATGATCAATGCTAACATCACTGAAAACAAGATGAACATCAAGTGCTTTCTGGGGCGACGCCCCAAGAACACAGCTCCCCCAGGGTATGCGGCACGTTGTATGAGCTGAAGCCAATCACGAGGACACAAAGGCAAACCCAAGCTGAAGGCTATTCCATAAAAACGGGCCTGTACTCCTCAAAAATGTAGTGCCACAAAAAACAAAGAAAGGCTGAGGCAGGTTAAAGGAGATTAAGTCAGTGTTAAGTGTCCTGGATGTGATGAGCACACCGTGGCTTGAATGAAGAAATACATAGTGAAATTTTCATTGCTGTGACTAACTCCCAAATGGCTCAGCAAAAAATTAACTTTTTAAGCAGAGGAAAACTGAAATAAATTATAAAGAGAATAGGAAAACAGGGTCTTCTCCCAATTCAACTCTGCCCCATGACGCCTAAATCCAGAGATATTCCTGCTTTCTAGACAAGGCAAAGCTAATGCATAAAAACACAGTAGTAAAAATCCTTTTCCCCTCAGGAAAAGCTACGTTGATCTTTCTAAATGAAATTAAGAAGGAACTCTGCTTTAACTAAAAAATGGCCTTAGATACACGGTGCCCAGGTATCACTGGGAACAACAGCAGAAGGCATCCACTGGCCTCTGATCACTGCCAGAGAAGCAAGAACAAGTTCATGTCTATCCCTGCTTATGTATATGCATAAACACAGTGGCCTGTCCTTGACACCGGGTGTGTAGGTATAAATCCCTTTCTGGCTCACAGCAGCAGCCAGGGCCTCAGCCACACCTGTAGAGCCTTGTTTGGTCACATCCTATCCGAAGTATAAGTGACAAAGGGAGGGGTCACGCCCCATGCACGGCACCCCACGAGGACTCACCGAGATTATCTGCACCTCTAGGAATGATCACGTCAGCGTATTTCTTTGTCTGTGGAGAAAGATATTTATAACACGCTAGATGGATTACAATGCATTAAAGAGAGAAGCTGGCCCAAGCCCTTCTCCAAGGGAATGTGGAGAAAGGGCCAGCCTTCGCCTACTAATCCCGTAGGGCAATAATCTGTGACTTCAAATGTAATATATTTTATCCACTTTATCTAATTTATAATAGATCAGCTTTTTCCTGAGTTCTCATTAACATTTAACACTTTTTCAGCTTACAACCTGCACAATGAACGTGGTCTTGGAAACCAAATATAGCAGACTACAGCTGTTGAATGGCCACTGAGGCCCAACTTGCACTAGGCAGAGGATGTACCAGGCACCAGCTCCTGGCGTATGCAGAGTGAGCTGGTCTTCCCTGGGCTCAGTGGCTGCACAGTGGGAACGAGTGGAAACAACCTAGAAAATACTTATGTAAATTCTGGGTTCCACTACAATCAAGTTAAACGGCAGAAAGTTGGCAGTAAACTTAATCTGTGTCCAAAAAGAATACTTTCTATTATTATTAAGCTAGAAAGAGCAGAGGGGTCCTCAGATGGATGGATAGAATTTCAGAGCGTCACAGCCACCTCTGCCCTCTTCCCAGAAACCTAATCCTGTGACCCAGGCCTCCCCAGGGAATGATCAGGGCATCAGGGTTACTCAGGCTGACTCACACAGCCTGCCTGGTTCTGGATCTGAAGCAAAAGTCAAGTCGGTTTTGAAGCAAAACCTACTAACATACTTGAAGAAACAAAGACAGCTCGGGATCATAGTTTTCCAGTACAGAAGAAAGAAGTTAATTATTAATGTTAAGAGAAGTAGAGAAGTTCCCACCCTACACTGCTTCCCAATAGCCCCACATGAGCCAGTCTCCCTAAAAGCATCAGCCAAGACCAGGCGGAGACCCAGCCCCTCTCACTCTCTCAGAACTGAGCTCTAAATTCTTAAGGAGTGAGAACATGGTGTGGCCAGCCCGAAGGAGACGTATGAGGAGGGATGAGTCTCCTGAGTTAAAACTCTTTCCAAAGCTAGGCTATCTCCCACACCTTCCTCCTTCACATTCCCACCACTCCACACCTCTTGTCCCTGACAGCCTTCCCCAGACGGTCACCTGACTCTCCTCAGGAAGCTGGGCTGTTTCCTAGGCTGAGGGCTGATTCACTAAAAGCTGCACACTGCCCAGTCCCTACCCTTCCTTCTCCGAAAGTCGTCTCACTAGAGAGGTCTCAGCTCATGGGGAGGCCTGACGAGCCTGGGCCAGGGTGGAAGTGCAGGAAGCCTGTTCCTCCACGGTACACCCCCTAAACGGGAACCTACATAGGGACCAATGACAAGCTCCAAACAGGGCTCAAAGGTGGTGGCCGAACAGATTCAGAGGGAAGGCTGCAGCTGAGGTCTCAGGCACCAACATGCCAACCATCACCAATCTTCTGAAGACCCAAGTGGTGAAGTCTACCCTTGGATACGAGGCGCCCTCAATAAAATGCCTCCCCATGAGCTCCCCAAGCAAGAGGTGTGCAGCTGGCAGGAATATCGGACTGCAGGAGCCTGAGGGCCACCCCAAAACAGAGTGGCAGGTCAGAGCCCCCGTGGGAGCAGACAAAGCGCCAGGGACTACCCTTTCTTAGGGCTCGAGGACAGAGGGGCGGCCAGAGGGGCGAGTGAGATCCTGGCCGGGGAGCTCAATGGACAGACCTTTGTTTGACTACATTTTAAAGACTGAATTCAATGAAAAACAAGAACAACTCACTGGCAAGCAGAATTCCTCAAAGGCAGGTTTGACGAATGTAATGTACTGAGATAAAATCTGCTCAAGGTCCCTCCCTCTTTCGCTGATGTCCCTTAATACTAGAAGAGAAGGAAAAACAAGAATCAAGAAAACGGTGCATGAGTCAACACATGTCCGGCCCTTCGCGAGGCTGATCAGGATCATACAAGCTCCGCAAGGGCTCTCGATGATTCACATGCCGGATTCCTGAGAGACTGGACCAAGAGCCAGTCAGCAGCAGCTTTGGGAAAAACAAGTTGCATTTTCACGTCTTGCTACAGTCAAATTCAGCTATGACAAAACGCTCTCTGAAGCAAAAGGTTTCCGGCAAAGGCCATTAGTCTTCTCATTTCAAGCAACATTTGATCCAAATAAAACTTCACTGTGAACCCCCAGAAAAGGTAGGACAAGCTCATAACAGGAAGTAGACTGGGCCCAGAGAAGTGGTGGGGCTTCCTGGCAAGAGGGGCAGGTTGCCAGGAGCTGTCTCCTTTGCCGTCCTTATCTGTTACCCTTGTATGTACTCACCTGTGTTCAGGCTGGCAGCCCTCTGTGGATGTGCCCCCTCTGTCGGCCTGGCTCCCCTCCCCCAGGCAGAAGCTCTGGCCCCCCTCAGACACAGAGGAGACCACTAAGCAAAAGCTGAGAAAACTGTGGTGTCAGAGACCACGGGCCAGAGCTGTGAGGTAGCCCAGAGGGACCCAAACTTATCATCTTCCTTCCACCTTCTTCCTCCTTGAGGGTGGGGGGTGTTTACCGCATCAAACGCTGCTTTTAACAGTCTTTTGTTAAAGCACAGAAAAGGGTCCAGAATCCTGGTTCTGCCACTGGACACTAGCCTCCCTGGACCTGAGTTTCTCCCAAACTCAGGAGTGAGTTTGATTCCCATATCAAGAGCAACCCCTCCCTACAAATGTTTTCAATCATGGCTATGAAAATCTTTCCCTCCCACCCCAGAAGGGTATCAATTTATCTACAATCATTTGCAGTGGACCCCTGGCTCCTCTCAATCACTTCTCAAGTAATCATTTCAGCATGGAATGAAACTCACTGTAAACCAAGACAGGGAATACTTGTCAGTGCACTTCTGGAAAGTCGTGTCTGTAAATAACTCTGTTGACATGTATGCACACACACAGGAACACACGCACATGGGCAGGGGCAGGAAACAGAGAGTGTCTGTGGTTACAGTTCAGGCTGGTGTGAAGTCTGTAAGATCAGATGGCTAGAAAACTGTCAGGAAGGCACCATTCCAGAAACCCAGGTAATACACTGCTATCAACACTGACTTCCAGCTCTGCAATTCACAAGGGTCTTCCCCCCATGAGCCCTGGGTAATAAAATGGTTGGCTGGTCCCTAACTTGTCAGGATTTGCCTCACAAACCCCACTGCCTGCATGCCCAGCCCAACCCAGCCAGGAAATGGTCTTCTCGGGCATTTGGACCTGGGGCCCTGCTCCAGCTGCTCCCGCTGCTCTGCCAGGGACACTCGGCGGCCAAGTAGGAGCGCCAATGGCTGCCACGTGGCTCAGCCCCATGGGCCTCCAGAGTGCGGGCCTATGGGCCAAGGGGCTGAGCTCGCCAAAACACACAGCCCGTGTGGCCTCCAGCTCTTCACATGTCTCCAGATAAAGCCCAAAGAAAAAAAGAAGTCAGACCAAAAGGGCATTAGAGCTGGGGAAAAATAAAAAGCAGACACATGCCTGCACTTCAGCAGCTTTGACTCAAAACCGTGCAAAAGCCCGATGATGGATTTGTTTTGCAAGACACGCATTTCACACAACTGCCGACAGCCTCAGCACTGTGGAAATCTCCCTCCTCCCCCAGGACACACACATGCACGAACTCTCCCCTCTCACAACGCTCTGCCGCTGCCCTCAGCCCACGTCTGCAGCTCTCCTGTGCCTTGCGGGCCTAGAGCATCACCTGTCATGTCACAGGAGTGAGGAACAGGAGGGGACAGAGCGGGTGCAGCAGGTGAATCACACCTGCCTCTACCCCGGAGCCCAAAGCTGCTCTTGCCCCATCATCTGGAGTGATGGGGGCAAAACTGACCCTATTTGAATCCTGACCCCATTAACTACTACCTTTGTGGCCTCAGACAAAAAGCTCATTTTCCTTAACTGTAAAGCAGAGACCACAACAGCGACCTGTCTCACAAAGCTGTCACTTAGGAAGACTGGAGATGCGCAGAAAATTCTTCAGCACCATGGCTGGCACATGGTGTGTGTTCAGCAAGCCTAAGATACTACAATTATGAAGGTGACAAGGACCTGAGGAAGCTTCAGGAGAGGGGTGGCTCCCTGATAGAGCAGACCATCAAGAGGACACGAACTGTGAACTCAGCTAAGCAGGCTGGACCCAGTGGGGGTGGGGGTGGGAGTCCCAGAGAGTAGCTGGGAAGGTGAGGGTGGGGTTTCAGTGGGGAGGGGAGGGCAGACATGTGGAGAGAAACAGGCAGACAGGAAGGAGACATCCTGCAACTTCCACGCTGGAAGAGGAGACAGCAGTGGGCCAGAACGCTGTCCAGACACCAAGAACACGCAAAGCCAGAAGGCATCGCCCACCTCTGCTCCCAAGAGCCTTCCATCAAATTATCACCTTAGACAGACAGGACGGACCCCTCCTTGAGCCCAGGACAACTTGGGACCAGCTAGTTCACGACACTGAAATGCCCTCCTCCTCAGAGTCAGGAAACGTAACCAAGCCAACCACTGAATCAGAATAAGACCTTGGCACAAACCAGAGTCTCCAGAGACTCAGAACCGGGCCCGGGTCACCACTCCGACCCCGGCACACTTCCTGGGCTGGGACGGGTCATCTCAGCGTGCCCTGCAGGGTAAAGGGCAGGAAACCACAGGCCTGCTCTTCCCTGCCTGGCTTCCACTCCGCCCTTCCAAATCAGCCTGTGCTGCTTCTGGTCAGCCAGAGCCAAGAATCAAACGTAGAAGGCCCAGAATAAACACAATTCCTCCATGGTTGTCAATTCCCTCTAAAGATCAGTTGGGGAGATGTGTTACTCTAGTAAAAGAACAAACCACCTACATCAAGGCTCAGTGAAGCCCTAATTCTGTGTAAACTGCACAGAGAGCCGTGGCAGGAGGGGCCTGAGGCCAGCAGTCCCAGAGCCCCACCGCAGGCCCTCTCTGATCCAAGGGGAGGTCACACTCACACAGAGAGGGAGGCATGGCAGGCTTTGCTGGGAGGAGGCCAATTCCCTAGACACCAAGGGGCCCCCAGGAAGGAAGGAAGTCCTTCCCAAGGCTGTGAGACTTGGTGCAGGCCTCCCTCCCTTCCGGGAGGATGTGACCCACAGACAGCAAGACCATGGCACTCACCCGAGTCCCCAGGACTGTCCTCCTGCTCCACAGCTCCTGACCGACCCTCCTTCCCTCTCCCTGACCCCACCCCACCCCAGCCCACACAGCGCGCTTTCCTGTCCTACGCAGACAGAGAGTGAGTTTGTGGGAACAGCATTTGGGAAGTCCCACTAGACCAGCAGGAGAGTAACTCGGCAGTAGGTGACATGACAGGATGGCGGATCCGAAAGCAGACAGTGAGCTGCCACAGGGGCGCCAGCCCAGGCAAGGGTGCAGAGCTGGCCATGAGAAACCCAGAAGAGGCCACTGTTACCCACGCCTCTCCCCCATCTCACATAAGGGTCTTAGTGTAAGATCTACCCAATCTATCCCACAGTCATCCATCTAAATCAGACGTGCCACACCACAAAACATGGTTCCCATTTCCACATTTTTTGTACGAGCTTCTCTCTCAGGCATCACTCCATCCCCTGGGACGTTAGTATCACCTGCTGGACTAATGATGATATCAGCCCAGGTGTTACCAGCTCCTGAGGACATGTCTACTGAGGTTCTGACAAGTCTTGACGGAACACTAGGGAAAACAGAACATCAGCTACCATCTCAAATGAAGCAGGTTTCTGATCTGCCATGTTGACATTTATCAACTAAAGCCATCACCAGGCATTACCTCTAAGAGCGCAACTATCCTAGGAGTACTAACTAATCATTACGTGATCAACCAGTAGGAAAATAAGGTACAAAAAGGTTAAAACACAACCTGCTCCAAGTCACACATCTACTAAACAGTGAAAAGTGAAAGAAGCTGCAAGTATTAGTCACTCAGTTGTGTCAACTCCTTGCAACCCCATGGACTTAGCCTGCCAGGCTCTTCTGTCCACGGGATTCTCCAGGCAAGAATACTGGAGTGGGTTGCCATCCCTTTCTTCAGGGGATCTAAATGGTGAAACCAGGATTAAAATAAAGCCCAGTTCATCTGAGTCCCATTTTTCCCCCAATGATGCCTCCCAAATCGGGCAAGCTAACATGGATATCCGAGCAGATGAGCTGAGAGCCCTGCCTGGGCAGGACCTGGGTTCATGAATGATGTTATGAACCAGACCCTGGGATCAGATGCGTAAGAGATTCTCAGGCACAAGTCTCAATTATCTGTCAAAGAAGGCCATGCAATCCTTATCTGGCCTGTGTCAAGACCCTAAAAAACAGGACTGTTTCCTTCATATTACCCGTTAAAAAAAAAAAATGCCTAGGAGGTCACAAGAGCAACCAAAATCACAAAGCTAGGGGGAGGCTCTGCTGGGACTAGAATTCTCTTCACTCCATCGGATTGCCCCCCTCCCCCAGGCTACCTGGGAGGCGAACTACAGCTTCCCTGACTTACAGAGTATGAATCCTATTACTCCTTAGGAGAGCAAATCCCAGGGACTCATTTCTCTAGATTCTGCCATTTCCATTTACAGCTCTTGCGATAAGCACACTAAATTGGGTAAACAACAAATTTGTTTCATGAACTGGAAAAGGGAAAACTTCACACACTTTGAGGTTGGATGGGTTGGGGCTTACAAAATCTGAATCTGCTACTGACTTGCTCTGTGACTGAGGACTAAGCCTGGAGTGTCCGGTGTCGCCCCGCCTCCATGATGGGACTCAAACTTTAATCACCCTTCATCCCTCTCCTCAGTCACTTCCACCCCACTGCCTAGGCTGTGTCCTGTCGGCTCCAACTCTGCTGGGTTCCCCATCTCTCCTCAGTGGTTCATGCCCCAAGATGCCACCCGCAGACGACAGCCCTCCCGTCACCCAGTGCTAACCGGCCACAGTGTCTATGTTCGCAGCCTTCTCGGGCTGCCTACGCCGTCAGCCCAGCACACCCACGTCCTGACCCCGCTTCTCCCACGAAGCCTGCCGAGCTCTCTGCTCTGGGCCGCGGGGCTGAATCCACAGGCTCCGCTTCCTGCCAACTAGCATTGCAGCGTCTTCCGCACATGCTGAAGCAAGGTATTCAGAGGGGACAACCAACCGTGCTCCCAGGCTGGCTGGACAGAGTAACCACAGCTTCACAGAACTTTCTGGACAGCCAAGGGCAAGGGGAATGGGCAGATGGGACCAGCTGCCCAGAGCCGCCAACAGAGGGTGCTCCTGCCCGCAGATGTGCCGCAGTGAGTCCCCATCTTGACTGGGACACCTATGCGGAAATCACAGGGAACTGAGCACTGAGCCAAACTTCTCCCCAGCAAAACCATAAGGTAAACTTCTTATTTCATGTCTGTGACCTCACAAACCTTTAACAAAATACTGAGTGAAGCTAATCCCTTCTCAAATGTCACCAAGTGTTTGGGCAGCAGGACATCCCTGCGGCAAGAGTGACTGGCCCGGGCTGGGCCCCAGGGACATGAGCCCACCCGGGGGGGAAGCCCGGGCCCCAGACTCGGGGAGGGCAGGGGCCTGTCGTAGGCCACTGATGGGCCGTCGGCGGCTTCTGGAACGCACCTCTGCGGGAGAGCCGGGTGTCCGCATCTGTGTCCACAAAAAGCTTCATCTGAAACAGGTCTCGCACCTCCTGGGAGTAGAAGGCCAGGATCCCTTCGAAGAGCACCACGTCTGCGGGGTAGACAGTAACCGTCTCCTCCTTCCTGCAAAGCAGAGGGCAGAAGATGAGCTGGGCCAGGTGGGAGCAGCAGGGGAGAGGGAGTCTGGAGTTCCATCCCCTGGACTGAAAGGGGGCCGAAAGGGTTTAAGCAGAGCCTCACAGAGCCCTTGGACCACTATGAAAGACCTAAGAATGAGAGCCAGTACAGCTGGGGCAAAGGTTTCCCGTAAGCAGCTCTTTGGAGCTTTCACCATAAGGCAGAAATAGAGGGCCTACGTCCCTCTCCTTGGAAGAAAAAAACCTGCTGTTAAATGAAGAATAAAGACAGACAAAAGGAGATGTGAGCACTTCCCCGCCCCCCGCCCCGAGGCATCCCTAGGATCGCTCTGAGTCCTGGCATGTATGGAACCTCACACTCTGAACTTTCAAAAACAGAAACTCAGTTTTCTCCCAAGAAGCCCATCCCCTCCCCCAGTGCTGAGGAAACTGGGAGGAAGATAGAAGGGGCCGAGGGAAAGGTAGGGATAAGAAAGCTTTAGATAAGAGACTGGGACAGGAAGGATCTCTGTGGAAGGAGGAAACAGCCCCAGACTTGCCTGGTTTGGCTCTTCTTCAGCAAAGCAGAGACACACATTACGTCATCCACCCACCCACGGGGCTGGGAAGCCCAAGGCAGAGAGATCCTAATGTAAACATGACTCTTCAAAAGCCAGGGCAGTGAAAACAAGTGGAGGGGCCTGACGGGGACTCCCTCTGCCTTGCCGCGACTTTCACTGCACTCTTTCATCTTTGCTTCTGTCCTAAAACCACATTGCACCTCACTTCAGAATTCACTGGAAAGGAAGTAAGGAGACCGCTGCAAGGGTCACCACTGGCCCTGACTGGCAGAGCAGCAGACATTCGTGAAGAAAACCAAACATTTATTTCAAAAGCTCCCTAAGATGATAGGCTTTATTTGTGCAAACATAGGGAAGTCAACAGCAGCTGCCCGCTAAGGAGGAACTTCCTTCCCATAAACATGCTTTGATTCTTTATTGGCTCAGTCCCTTGGGCTCGTGTCTAAACTCTAAGGCAGCACTGTTGCAGCAGAGAACCTGGAGCATAAAAGACGCAGAAAAGGGCCAGGTTAGAGCAGTCAGGAGACTCTAGAACAGTGGTGTAACTCTTGATGCACAAAGAATCATCTGGGGAGCTTTTAAAAATACTTATTCCTGGACCCTACTCCCCTGGGGCTCTGATTTCATTAGTCTAGGGTGTAGCTAGGGCATCAGTACTTTTTAAAAGCTCCCCAGGTATTTCTTCCTTTCTTTTTTTTTTAAAGTCATGAAACTTTATCTACTTAACAGCAGAGGTTTGCAGTATATTGAGCAAATAAAAATACCAAGACAAACTGCATCCACATTCCTATTGGAGAGACTTCAACTTCTTTATTTTAGAAACTGACAGATAAAGAAGGAAATGGAAAAGTCTAACACAATTAACAAAAATATGTGGCTTAAGTATACACACCACTTTGTACAAAACTTTGAAGTACAACTGCAGCAGGCACAAAAATTAACTGTCAGGCCACAATTAATTTGGAATTAATCAATTCCAAAAGTAGAATTCATTTGTACGTTTGTTTTTTATCTCTCCTGTTTGGGATTGTAGGGCATGAAATCTAAGGATTTGATTTCATTAGTTCTGGGGAAAAATTAAGCTATTATCTCTTCAGATATTGCCTTTATTCTCTTCCCTTTCCTTCTGATTAAATATTTTTCAGATTTGAACTATTGGCCACATCTCTTAATCTTTTTTGTTTTTTTTTTCTGTCTTTTTCTTTCTTCATCCATTAAGGCATTAATGCATTAACGGATGATTTCTTCACATCAATCCTCTATTGTCTGAATTGAGTTTTTTTTCCACTTTGCTGCTAATACATTTACTGAGTTTGAAAATTTTGCCATTGTGTTTCCCATTTCTAGAAGTAATTTCTTTTTTCACACTTATACATTATTTTTTTTAAATTTACATTTGCTTCTCCAGATTTTATTAAGATATAAAGCACTGTGTAAGTTTAAGGTATATACAAAATGATTTGACTTAATTATGAAATGATAACTATAATGGGTCTAGTGAACATCCATCATCTCATATAAAATAAATATCAAAGAAATAGAAAAAAAATTTTGTGATGCGAACTCTTAGGATTTACTCTTAAATACTTTCACACAGAACATACAGCAGTGTTACCTATATTGCATTGTAGATTACATCCCTAGTTCTTATTTATCTTTACAAGCTGAAGCATGTACCTTCTGATCTTCCTCTAATTCTCCCTCCTCCACAAACCCTATCTCCCCATTCCCCAACCCCCTGTGGCAGTAGCAACAATCTGATCTCTTTTTCTATTAGTTAGTTGGTTTGTTTTTCTGCAGTATAATCGACCTACAACACTATGTCAGTTGCTGGCACACAACACAGTGATTTGGTATTTCTATACATTACAAAATCATTACCATGGTAAGTCTAGTTATCACCTGTCACCACACAAAGATACTGTTATTGAGTAAATTCCCCACACTGTACACTTCATACCTGTGATTCATTTATTTTGTAGCTGAAAATCTGTACCTCTTAATCTCCTTGACTATTTCTTCTTCCCCACTCCCTTCACTTCTGGCAACTACTAGTTTGTTCTCTGTACCTATGACCATTGTCTCTGTTTTCTTGTTTGTTCATTTGTTTTGTTTTTAGAGTCTGCTGCTGCTAAGTCGCTTCAGTCGTGTCCGACTCTGTGTGACCCCATGGACTGCAGCCCACCAGACTCCCCCGTCCCTGGGATTCTCCAGGCAAGAACACTGGAGTGGGTTGCCATTTCCTTCTCCAGTGCATGAAAGTGAAAAGTGAAAGTGAAGTCGCTCAGTCACGTCCTTTGTGACTCTTTGTGACCCCATGGACTGCAGCCCACCAGGTTCCTCCGTCCATGGGGTTTTCCAGGCAAGGTCCTGGAGTGGGGTGCCATTGCCTTCTCTGTTTTAGAGTCTAATAATATATAAAATCATACAGTATCTGTCTTTGGCTGACTGATTTCACTTGGCATAATACCCTCTAGGTCCACCAAGGTTGTCACAAAAAAAAAAAGGCTCCCCCAGCTATGTCTGCAGCCAGGGTTGAGACATATCAGTCTCTGAGATAATGTCAGGTACTGGAAAATGGTGCCCACTGTGGTTCAGGATAAGGAAGCAAACTGGGCAGAATTCGGAAGCAAGATGGGGAGAAAAAGAGATCAGCAAGTGAGCGAAATAACGAGCCACTCTAGACAGCTGCCCTGGGCCAAGACGAGGGCGGAACGGCTCTGCTGGGCAACAAAGAAAACATGCGCTTCCTGGGATTTCTAGGGTTCCGTCTGGAAGACACACAGACGGCACTGTGCTTACAATGACACTGTCTGTGCTGAGAGCTTGCCTAACTGATAAAGACGAAGAAGACTGCTGACTGTTGCAATTTGGTCATGCCTCTTCAGTCCTGGGACAGTAGGAGAACAGAACTGCCTGCCCCATGGGTGGTGCCCCTGGAAGCTGGAATCAATCACTTCCCTAGCCTACACGAAGCTCTAGGTGCGAGAAAATTTCCAAACGGTTTAGAGCTAAAAGCAACATTTATTTTACTACTAGCCCAAGATGTGCCGGAAGCCACATATGGTGCAATGTTCTGTTCAGGAGTTTAGAGATGGGCTGTGAGGTTCACAGAAGAAACCTGGAGTATTAGAGCATTTGGGACAACCCAGCACAACCTTCTCACTTGAGAATTATTCCTTACAATAAAGAAGGGGAGATCAGAGGCAGGTATTCACAGACAATAGGTGACTTCTCAGTTTTCGCCCAACATTCGTTTGTAGTCACCACAAAAAACCCAAGGGTGGAACGGGATCAGTTAACCCTGAATGGCTGGGTCCCTTGCAAGTGGCCCTTGAGAGCTGGGGGGACTGTTTGGGTCTTCAGTTCATTTCAGTTCAGTCACTCAGTCGTGTCCGACTCTTTGCGACCCCATGAATCGCAGCACGCCAGGCCTCCCTGTCCATCACCAACTCCCGGAGTTTACTCAAACTCATGCCCATCGAGTCGGTGATGCCATCCAGCCATCTCATCTTCTGTCGTCCCCTTCTCCTCCTGCCCCCAATCCCTCCCAGCATCAGGGTCTTTTCCATTGAGTCAACTCATCGCATGAGGTGGCCAAAGTACTGGAGTTTCAGCTTCAGCATCAGTCCTTCCAATGAACACCCAGGACTGATTTGGGGTCTTAGATGGTCACAAAGCCTCACAGAAGAGTTGGACTCTGGGCCACTAAAGAACAGGATTTTAAAATAAAGAGCAGAATTATGAGAAAAAAAGTAAAACACGTCTGGATGTGCAACTCTGTGGGGTTTTTTGTTAATACATGAACTTGATGGAGCTCATGCCAAGAAGATACGCATCTTCACCTCCTGCCACCTGACTACACTGGTTAGGCCCCAACTCCACCCAGCTCCCCTCACTCCACTCCCTTCCATCAGGCCCTTATCGGTGTCTCACCGGGGCCACTCCAAGGCTTCATACACAGCATTGTGCATCCTCTTTTCCTGCCACCGGAATGACCTCTTCACTCCTACATAACAGCCATCTTTGGCTCCCTGTTGCCAACAAGTTTGTGCCCAGGCTCAGGTCTGTGCCCTTCCTGATCTGAGGCCTATCTACCTCCCTGCCACTCTCCCCACTTACCAACCCCTTTCCCTCAGTACCCAACCCACTGCAGCCTCCCACCAAGCTTGCCCCTGAAATGCCTCCCTACCCATCACCTTGGAGATCCCTTTCCACAACTTGTTATGCTTTTCAATGCACAGCTGAAGTATCATTTCCTATACAGGTGCCTGCGCTAACTACTCCAGCCTCCTTCCTCCTTTACATCCCTCCACAGGCCTGTGCCTTAGTTGTCAGACTGCATTTTAATTCTGTAGCAGCACCCCGCCCTAGACCTGAAAAGGGGGGTGGGCTTGACTGTCTCTTGTCAACCTGACGTCACCACTGATCTCTGCTAAGGCTAGAAACTACAATTTCCAGAATCTCTTTCCCTAAATGGTCCCAGCTACTTTGCCAAAGGAAAACTTACAAGATGAAAGTGAAACAAAATCTAAAGTTTTTAGGAGATCATGACAGCTAGACAAGGCAACTGTGGACACTCCACAGAAAGGCTGTGGGGACTTCCCTGGTGGTCCAGTGGCTAAGACTCCACACTCTGAATGCCCCCCTGAATCCTTGGTTAGGGAACTAGATCCCACATACTGCGACTAAGACATGGTACAGCTATAGCCAGGGGAAAAAAAGGCTGTGGGCCCAGATGCAGCAGATTCATGGACTTGCCATGAACATAGGTTCTCTTCCAGGGGCCTAGTCTGCCATCAGTGGGAACTGATTTCTCTGATTCTTCACCCGCAGCCTCCCAGATCTTCACTCTCCCAGCCCCGCATTATTTATGTTAGTTCCAATTCCTATCTAAACATCCCTTGATTCCCGCACAGTCTGTAGAGGCAGATCCAGGACGGGTATCTTGTTCTTTGAATGTCAGGAGAACTGAGTTCATAATAGGAAGTGCGTCCATAGAAACCAGGGAGGCATGAAGGTGAGAACCAAAGCAGCTGGGCTTCCCATCCCAATGTGCCATCTCTTTTCTCCTCCTCCAACCAAACCTCCGCCACACCCTCAAGTTCTGAGAAAGCTCCAGAGAGCAGCACAGAATGTGTGAGCTAAACTGCATTAAAAGCTGAGATGTGTCCTAAAGGAACACACAGGGAGATAAGGATCCGGCTTTTAAATGGAGAAAAAGACACAGAGAATAGACTTATGGACATGGGGAGAGGGGAGGAGGGGGCGAGATGTATGGAGACAGTAACACAGAAACTTACATTACCGTATGTAAAATAGACAGCCAAGGGGAATGTGCTGTATGTCTCGGGGAACTCAAACAGGGGTCTGTGTCAACCTGGAGGGGTGGGATGGGGAGCAGGTTCAAGAGGGAGGGGACCTATGGCTGGTTCATGTTGATTGACACTGATGACAGAAAACAACAAAATTCTGTAAAACAATTATCCTTCAATGAAAAAGTAAATTAATTAAACAAGATCAAGTTTTTAATCAAAGAAATATTTCGTAGTAACAGTTGCATGAGATCTAATTTCCCATTTAAGAAAAAGAAAAAAAAATCAACTCAAGAGAGGACAAGATAAAAGAACTAGGAAGGAAAATGAAAAGTGGGAGGGAGAAACTTTCAAAACCAGCCCAGCGCTAAAAACAACACTTACTGAACCATTACTAAGCCCAGGACATGAAGGGGCTGCACGTGGTCGAACACACCGCCTGGGAGTGTCGGATGTGCTTGGGAGGCCCCACAGTGAGCAGAGCGCCCTGGGCAGCTCTGAAGGAGCTAGGCCACAGCAGGGAAGTCCTCCAGAAGCTGCTTTCCACCGCTCAGACGGGAGAATGCTGCGATGGAAGTCAGCCCGCTCCTCTATTGATCGGGAGCATTACTGCTGTTGCTCAGACGCTCAGCTGTGTCCAACTCTTGGCAGCCCCATGGACTGCAGCACGCCAGGCTTCCCTGCCCTTCACTATCTCCCAGAGTGTGCTCAAACCCATGTCCATTGAGTCGGTGATGCCATCCAACCATCTCATCCCGTCGCCCTCTGTCCTCCTGCCCTCCATCTTTCCCAGCATCGGACAGAGTCTTTTCCAATGAGTCAGCTCGTTGGATCATATGGCCAAATTATTGGAGCTTCAGCTTCAAACAGAAGCATGAACACTGACAAATGGAAGGACAAATCTGACCTGATTGAGAAGCTCCCCAGAGGGTCCAGTCCTGGAGGCTTCAGGCCTCTCACAGCTCTCCACGCAGCCCAACCCGAAGTAAACCAGGGAGCAGAAATAACAGCTTCCTTGTTCTTCTTCCTGTTCCTCCACCCTGCCCCCTTGCTTTTTATTCTAGGAACAACATCTCGGGCGTGTGGATAAGGCTGAATTTGCAGTCCCTCACCTCGGCTCAAAATCGCAAATCCATCCTTCAGAGTCACACAACAGGATGATCATGATTGGACTGGTCAGGAGCACCCGGATGAATTCCTGACCTGTGTATCTGTGGACACCCTGACGTCACTGCCCCACCACAGACAGGCTGTAGTGGGCACCAGGCGGCGGGGAGGGGACAGGAGACTGGCACTTCTGAGGAGCAGCAGGCAGCAATCCCCAGCCCGGAACAGCTCACTTACCGGGAATGGGAAACAAAGTCGTACACAGGAATCTGGACCGTTTTCCCTTCGGTGATTTCTTTGAGTGTCTTGAAGATGAGTTCATTGTCAAAGGCATCTGAAGGAAATCAAACTGTTAAGATGCTTGCTAATTGTAAAATGATTTCTCCTATAATGATGAACAGGCATCCCTCTAAGCCTGTGGTCTACCCATATATGTATCACACCCTAGATAAGCACCCCTCTCCCCCAAAAAGTCTAATTTCAACCCAAAGCAGGATGCAAACTCTACATTTCAAGCCAAAATGTGTGAGTCCTGAGAACTGGAAGTGGATTCTTTTCTTTTGCCTTCATGTCCCATCCCTGGCTGTATCTCTTGCCTCTCTCTAAACCCGGCGTACGATAGATAACCTCACGGCCAGGTGGTGGCACCGGGCACTACAGCAGCTTTGACGCCCGCAACTGAAAGAACCCTAGGCCAGTTAGAGAGGCCGTGCGCTGCCCGGGGACTGTAAGGGCGAAAATCACTGCGCCCGCAATCTCCCTTTCTGCCTGTGGGTGAGTTTAACGCACAAGCTGTGTACAGCCACGTGCCAGGTGGTGGTGGCAGGGCGTGACTCAGGCTGCTGTGGACCAGAGGAGGCAGGAGAACCAGCTGCTCTGGCCTGTGTCTGTCCCGCCCTGAGTCATGGGTTTCTCCAAGAGTCACCCTTGTTCAGACACAGATTCGATCAGTATGTAAGCAGCCAAGCACTACAGAAGCCACTGTGGAAGCCCTTCTTTCCTATAAGCCCACAACAAGCCTGCAAGATACCTAAGAGTCCTCCATTCAATGGCTAGGAAACAGACTCAGAGAGGCTAAGCAACTTCTTCAATCAACACCCCCACATACGCCCTTCCAATGCCCCAACTCACCTGGGTGATCAAAATTGAACTGGCCCTTCAGGGCTTTGGCCTTCTGCTCTGACGTGAGGACACGGTAGAAGCTATCCTGGCTCAGGATGACCACCTGCTTCTGGCGATAGTCCACCTCGTTCTGTCCCAGAAGCTGCACAATCTTAGCACAAACGGAAGACTGTAAGGAGAGAAGAGGACACCACAGACCACAAGATGAGGTCCAGGCACCGAGCTGACTGTGTGTGCCCCGAGCAAGGGCCTCTGGAAGGAAGAACGCAAAGGCTACCACCGTGGGTGATGTGTTAGGGGAAGGGAGGATATGTCTGCTGAGAAGGAATTCAGAGGGCCCAGAAGTCTCTTCCTCCCCGCTTCCTTAACACAAACCACTATGCTGAAGTATCCGCAGTGATGACATGGGGAGGAGGGCAGTAGTCTCTATTTCTATTTCATAAAGCCTTCCCCAAAGCCACCAATAAAAGGTGACACTATTTTATCCTTCTTACTTCCACCCTAGTACAGATAAATACTAGACAAAAAAGACAGCAGAAATTAGGGAAGGGGCACAGTGAAGATGTGCTGATGGGCCAAAGGGCTGCTGGGTCATGAAATGACTGAGCATTTATAAGAATGCCCTTACACATCTCTTTATATCAGAGGAATCTCGGCCTCACTCACTGCCAGCCAGCTAAGACCTTGGCTTCCATCCTACTTCAGTCTTCTGCTCTGGTCTACAGCCACAGACATCATGGTCCGCACAGTACACCAGGCAGCCTTTTCACAGGTGTATGCCCCCACTTATGGAGCTGGAGACATGAACATCACCAATCCTGGAAGCAACTTAGGGGCATTCTAATCAAGAGTAGGGACACCAGCTCCCAGTGAACTTGAACCTACATACTTGTAATACACATATCTGACTTATTTTCTGTCCAATGAACTTACACTCTTTGTAAAAGGAAAAGTATAAAAACAAGTGCACTCAAAAGAATGAGACAGCCGGGATTTCCCTGGCAGTCCAGTGGTTAAGATTCTGCCTTCCAACGCAGGGAGTGTGGGTTTGATCCCTAGTCAGGGAGCTAAGAGTCTATGTGCCTTGTGGCCGGTGGTGGGGACATAAAACAGGAGCAATATTGTAAAAACTTCAATAAAGAATTTTAGGGCTTCCTTGGTGGTCCAGTGGTCTGCCTGCCTCTTACCGTGTTCGATCCCTGGTCCAGGAAGATCCCACATGCTGCCTGTAGGCCGTACTACTGAGGCATGCTCACCACAGCTAGAGAAAGCCCACACACAGCAATGAAGACTTAGTGCAGCCGAAAGTTTTAAAAAAATAAAACAAAGATATTTGAATTTTTAAATGGTCCACATCAATAAAGATCTTTTTAAAAATGAGATAGTGAAGGATTTTATTTATCAAATAACTGATTTCTTTCTCATTTGCTACAAAGATTACCTGAAAAATAAGAATGTCTACATCACAAAACCTCTAGAAGATGTAATGGAAGTCCCCTTATGGAACTGGCTGATGTGATTACAAGCAATGAAAGAATGAGCACAGTTAGAGGTTTCTTGGGCTCAGCGTTATAAGTCCTACAATTGAGACTATTTTACCAACTGATTTTAAAGGGGAAAAACCAGCAAACTTTTCATTAAAAGTTACACTTCATATGAAGAATGTATTTGATTCGTCCTATCATAAGGAAAACTCGCTATTCCTGTTGTACTACTCAATGTAAATTAAAACTATTTGGCACAGTATGTCCTGTTATATAAGTTGTGAAACACACTGGCATTTTATAAGGATCTGTGGGAGAATAATATTTTGACTCAACTGTTAGTTATTAGGAAGTTATTTTACTTTTATGGCAGTTTTGCATATTAATACACAAATAAAACACTTAAACTACTTGGGATTTTTGGAATGACAGATGTGCCACCAAAAAAGAAAAAAATCACAGGAAGGTATAAAGCTTGCATATGACTTAAACTAGATTCAAAAATGAAAATGCTGTAACAGAATCAAAGGTTCTATGCAGTTAAAAACTTGTTTTTATACCTGTCTAGGTCCATAATTTCCTTTTCCTAGCTTCCATCTGCTTCTTGCATCGTAAGGCTATGAGTGGGGAACGTTTATACCTGCAGTTTTCACTAGTAAATAGAATTCCTTCTAGCAGTCCAAAGACCTGGGACTCTCCTGGTAACTCAACAGGGAAGAATCCACCTGCCAATGCAGAAGACAGGTTTGATCCCTGATGTGGGGAGATTCCACATGCCTCAGAGCAACGAAGCCCGAGCGCTACACTACTGAGCCTGAGCTCTGGAGCTCATATGCTCGACTGCTGAAGCCCACGCGCCTACAGCCCACGCTCTGCAACATGAGAAGCCGCTGCAATGAGGAGGCTGCGCCGCACAGCTAGTGAGCAGCCCCTGCTTGCCACAGCTAGAGAAAAGCCCACTCGGCAACAAAGACCCAGCATAGCTAAAAATAAATAGATAAATAAAAAAACTTTTTAAAGAAAGTCAGCAGGAGGAAGTGAGATAAATGTGGAGTTTGGGGTCGACGTATACATCGACCACCACTATACATGAAACTGATAAACAATAAGCATGTACTGTATAGCACAGGAAACTACAGGCAGTGTCTTGTAAAACCTCCAGAGGAAAAGAATCTGGAAAACGGAAGTATAACTGAATCATTCTGCTGCATACCTGAAGCTAACGCAACTATACTCCAAAAATAAATAAATAAAAAGAAGGTAAGCAGGAGTTTCCAGGCAGGGCTCCCTTGGTGGCTCAGTGGTAAAGAATCCACCGGCCAATGCAGAAAACACAGGCTTCCATCCCTGGTCCGGGAAGACCCCTCATGCAACTAAGTCCCTGAGCCCGTGCTCCAGAGCCTGGGAGCCACAGCTGTGGAGCCCACACGCCGCAACTAGTGAAGCCTGCATGCCCTCCAGCCCAAGCTTCACAACAAAAGTCAACACACAGCTCCACTACAGGACAGTACCCTCACTTGCGGCAGCCAGAGAACAGCCTGTGCAGCCACAAAGACCCAGCACAGCCAGAAATAAGTAAGTAAATAAACACAATTAGTTTTTTAAGTACCAAAAAAAAAAGAGAAAGTTCCAAGGCCTAAGAAACCCTTTAGCATTCAGGAGATAAACACCACTGCATGAACAAGCAAAGAAACACCAGCCTCTAAGTGAATCTAGATTTTTCTAGTATTTTCTTCTCCCTGAAATTTTTGTTAAAAATGGGCCCCAAATATCTAGATAACTGCTGAATCAGGGAGAGGTTCATTGTATTATTCTGTCTCCTGGCGCTTTGGTCTCAATCTTCACACAATCAGAAGGAAGACGTGCTACAGAGGACTTCTGCAATGAGTAAATACTTAAGCCCTTCCTTTAATGTCTCCTTCACTGTTAATTTCCCTTTTCTCTAATCCCGCCCTCTTCAAAAGGATGAAATGGAGCTGCAAGATGAAATGGAGCTGCAAGGCGTCTTCCTTCTCTTAGGAAATGGTTTGAGACAGGAAAAAAATTAATGACTAGGGTTTCAGAAGAAGGCAAGCAATCATGAGCTTCTAGAATGCTAAAAATGGGACAGAGTATAATTGCTGTGGTGAGCTAAGACTTATTACTAACTATAGTTACAAAAACACAAGTACCATATGATGCCACTTACATGAGGTATCTAGAATAGTCAAATTCATAGAAAGTAGAATGGAGACTGCCAGGGGCTCGGAGGAGTTGCACAATGGATATAGTTTATTACATGATGAAAAAGTTCTGGAGATTGGGGCCCAAAGCAAATATACTTAACACTACTGAACTATATGCTTAAAAATGATTTTTAAGACAGTAAATTTTATGCTATTAGGTTGGTACAAAGTAAATGTGGTTTTGCATTGCTGAACTTTGCTGTTTGATATTGGAATACATTCTTAAGTGTGGTTATGTTATACATCATTTTAATGCACAGTTCTCCATTTTTACGCTACAGGAATAAACAAACTTATTTCTTGTTGGCAAATACGTGTTGATTATAATGGTTCCTATTTTCATTAATCACGATGTGTTTGAGCCTAGTTATAATGATTTAAAATTCACTTCCAAAACTGCAATTACTTTTGTACCAACCTAATATGTATGTTTTATCACAATTAAAAATAATCATTCATATAAGAAGAATGTGCCTTTAGAGGTAGTTTCTTCCTATGTGCTAGTTGTGTGGTGCGTGCTCAGTCATGTTGGAATCCTTGTGACCCCATGGACTGTAGCCTGCCAGGCTCCTCTGTTCACAGGATTTCCCAGGCAAGAATACTGGAATGGGTTGCCATTTCCTCCTCCAGGGGATCTTCCCAACCCAGGGACTGAACCCAAGTCTCTTGTGCCTCCTGCACTGGCAGGCGGATTCTTTACCACTGAGCCACCAGGGAAGCCCACATTGGGCTCAATATTTTTAAATCATTCCATTTACTATTACAACTTTGTATGCTGGCCATTATTATTACACCCGCTCAGTGAAGACTGAGGTGAAGAGAGGCAGAGTGATTTGCCCAAGGCAAGCTGCAGTGGAGCCAGGGTCCTCACCCAGGGAGCCCCACTCTGGAGCCCCCTTACTCTCCTTCCAGCTAAACCTCACCAGCAAACGCACCACTCATGGAGCTGGAGGTAAACTCAGTTTTGCCTGGTATCTCCACACATAGTGCAGTGTATCCTGAACAGATTCTGTCCCTGCCACTTTTAGCACACTATTTGGGGGGGTGGGGGGAGGGTTGCAGGGACACACCCAGCTTAGGGTTGCTGTCTGAACACAAAATTAAGATCAATATGAGGTTATTTTTAGAAAAAGAAAAAAGATAAAATGGAAGAATCAGTGAAGATAATTTACAATTTCTTCACTACTAAGCCATTTTGAAGATATTATCTCACTTAATTCTATTACAAAAGATATTGTTTTATCTTTTTTTCCACCTTAATGAGGAAACTGAAGCTTAGAGATTCCAGTTAAGCTAAATAACTTGCTCAAAGGTCATGGAGCTGAATCTCAAGCCTAACTGCAGATCTTCTAACTGCAAAGGCACAATTCTTTTCACTATTCTAGAACTGAAGCAGCTTTGACATCACCCCCAATATTCTATATAAATTTACTCCACTTCCAGAGAACAGGGAGGGAACT